TTTCAAAATACCAAACAGATCATGCATTTTAGCCATGCCTCATTTCACTCTATTTGCTGTTCTCCAGCCCTGTTTTTGCAGGGGGCTGATTCTGTGAGCTGCAGCTGACCACGCCCCCCTGCAGGAGAGGGGAGCCGCTCTGATCAAGTCAGAAGAGGGGGAGAAAAAGAGATCTCCGTCCTCCGTGTTTTATTCTTATATTATTATATAGAGTCGTTATTCATTTGTTTTAAAGCTCAATAAATAACAAAGACCTTTGACCGGCACTTTTCTAATTTTGTCCGGAAGATTTAAACTTTAACGGACATCTTGACCGGCGAAAGAAAACCTAACTGAAACTCTGCCGCACGGTCGTTCCTTGGAAGAGGCGGAGAGGTGGGTGTTTGTCATCTGCTGGTGGACTAACCGGAGAGAATTACAGTGCTTGCCTCTGGGAGGGAGAACAAAAGCCACAGCGGAGAATAAACAGAAGGGTAACCATGGCAACCATGCGCGGGAAGTCTTCTTCGCTGCTTTTGTGGCAGACTACAGCGCCACTTACAGGCCTGGCATATGTACTACAGCGTCTCCAGCGCTTTCGAGCGGCAATGGCCGGCCGTGGCCCAACCCCACATTCCCCTGATAGGTGGAGAGTTGGCCCAATAGCCGTAGCGCCACCGTCCTGACGTCAGGACAGTGTTCAAATCTGGATCAGTTTTTATCAGATCCGTTGCAGCCCCTTTTTTAGAGATTTGGGTATGGAGGAAAATAGAGAGGGTTGTGTTTTCTGACACTTGGTGAGTTCCCTGGAACACCGGGGACACATATTCATGTATAAAAGACGTACAAAAGTGCATTTTGCATGATAGGTCCCCTTTAACTATTAAATACATTGAGCTGAGTAAAATACTTGGTTACTGATTAATTTAGGTTATAATATATTAAATAAATTGCAAAGCAAAACATGCTGTAATTTATTTATTTTGTATTTTTTAAAGGTTTTCAACCTGAAAGAATCCTAATGTGTCCTTGAAAAGTTGAAATAAAGAAGATAAAGAATAAAATAAAGAAGGATTCCAGTTGTCCATGCGTCCTCTGTTGCCCCTCAAGCCTCTCAAATGTGGGCAAACACTCAAATAAATGCCAAAAACCCAGAGAACTTGACAATACTTATCAGAATAAAAGTATGTTAAATAACACTGCTACCTAGTTAATAACTCACTCAGTGGAGGCTCGTCCATTGAGGAAAGGGAGGACCATCCTCCCTAAAATTTCAGAAACAAATTAACTTTGAAGAGAACAATAAATGCACCTCAATTTAAAAGATAAGTCTGTTAAAATACAGATAATAGCCCTGACTTTTAACATGGGACTGAAATGGGGCTAGAGACGACGAGCCTCCCTTTGGGCGGGTCTATCCAGAGGCTCTGGATTGGGCGCCTATATCATCAGTGAACCAATCAGCGGATCTGACTGCGCATCAGAGTGTTGATGGGGAGGGTTATCAGCGATATCAGAGCTTTTTCTGAACCGGGGAACAGGGGCGCTGCGCCCTCTTACCAAAATCAATTCCTTGAATTAGGCTTTGATTATGTTCTGGCCCGCCATCTTGTGGCTCAGCAAAAAATTGGCCCACGGCCAAACTTACTTGCCTACCCCTGCACTACAGCACCTCCGCTTTTAGGGTTGACGTAGACCCAAACGTCGCCCGGAGGTCCAACGGTGTTGTTGCGGGAGCTGCTGCACTAGCTAACGCTGCACTAGCTAACGCTACATTAGCCAAACAAACGCTAATTTCTTTTGCAAAGGGTGCAGCAGGCTTCAAACACGTTCCCCTCCACTGGTTTCAACCAAGCACTAAATTCGATGTTTTCCAACCAAATACGGTAGAACTTACACTTCCCCATATTTATTTGTAAGTAGATTCGAAGAGACATGAGTTTCTGACTGCCGCTAGCTGAAGCTTGGTTGCTAGGTTACTAGCTGGGTGTTCTCCGTTAAGGGGCCGGGGGAAACAAAGTTAGTGATTACTGGTTCCATGTTGATTTATTTCAATACAAATTGTTGGGGGGAACTGAAAGGCTATTACCGTTACTTTGCAGCCCGGACATTTCCCCCAAAACACATTTTAGACGCGATCGCAACACAGAAGTACCTTTCAAATCCCATCATTTTTAAGACCTTCTAAATCATATTTAAGACCTTTCTTATTTTTTTGGTCATATTTAAGACCTTTTTAAGGCCTTAAATTCAGATGATCAAATTTAAGACTTTTTAAGACTCCGCGGGAACCCTGTATTTGATACTGGAGGGTTTTTGTTTTATTCTTATCTAAAAACAGAGGGATGATAGCTCATATATGAGACTTCAAAGGTCTTTTATTTTGAAACTCTTTAAGTTTTACATTCAGTCAGTTATAATGTGGTAGTTATACATAGTTTGTCTTACATTATTATTGATCACATTAGGCCTATATAGTACATATTTCAATATGTTTGCTAAAATTGTTATTGACCGAGTAAGCACTTTTATTTTGAAGGCAGTTTTTCCAGACCGCTACCGTAATGCATAGGATATTCGCGCACCGCAAAACAATGCGGATGCTGGCTTGACTGTGTTTTCCGAAGTGGAGGCTGGCTTGACCGCAGTGCTACAACTACAACAAAATGAACATATTTTACCGTGATTTAATTGTAATACACGTTTCAAAATGATGCCGAAGTAACAACATACTGATACCGGTCTGCAGACAAGACGGCAGGCGAAAAACCTTTTAAAATGCGTGTTTTCTGAATGGAGATCGAATCGATCAGGCTAAGCTAACTTTGTATATGCTCCGTCCACACACACAACAACGGCCTACAGACATAAATACACCAGCGACTGTATTCGCCATGACACAGACAGTCTGTGGTTTGTACTTGTTTAACTTTTGTCTAGTTTCTGAACAGATAGGAGCTCTGAGTGCTAACAGCTAACGGCTGATGTTTTGGTTTTGTGGTTCGCATTGAAGATGACGTCAAGGCAGTTTTACGCAGCGCTGCTCCGCCCGCCGAACAGCCGATCGCTCTGCCTACACTGCGTTACTATAATTACTAATACTAAGGTATATAGTACTAATAAGTAACTTAACTAATGGAAACGCAGCATAAAGTGAGCCTGGCCTACCAAGGCCTAACCAGCCCTGAACCATACCGTACTAAGCCGTGCTAGGTCCTGCAGTGGAAAAGCGCCATAATACAGGTGTTGCTTATCTGATGCTGTGGAAAGAGCTGACACGGATTACATCCTCCGTCAGAGATAACATAATTTTCATGTTCACATTTATGCTTTTCAGGGCTGTTGAGCTGCATTGAGGATTCAGTTGACACATAATTAAATACAACTATTTTGAAGAATGTTTCTTCATGTTAAACTGTTCAGAAAACACTATTTTCAGCCTCTCCAATATGGAGACTTCCCTATGGTGTCTGTTTTATATCATATTAAACAGAATATTGTTTGGTTTTGGACTGACAAAACAAGACATTAACACACATCTCCTTGGACTTGAGCATTTTTACTATTGTCTGACATTTTCTAGAGGTACAAATGTATCTAGAAAATGAAAATATGATATACATGTTGGCAGGAAATGGTGCTGAAAGGTGGGGGTTGTATTGGTACAAAACAGCTCCCTTTGTTTCCTGTCTTTAGTAAAAACAACATTTATCATTTAAAATACCTGGCGTTAAAGTCTGCATACATATCATTGCTTTAGTAGAAACAAGATAAATACAATTCTAATATAAGAAAAACTGATTTTTCAGATTGTTTTTAGCCGTTGCTAATGCTAAAGATACAGACTCCATGATAACAAAGCCTACGACACATCCGCCCAACTCATCGGTTAGTCCTCGACCGTGAAGCCTTTTCTCTTGTAAAGGTTTAGCAAATAAGTTTGTAGATGCTTTAAAAAAATAAATCCCACACCGTAGCTTACCTCTTTGTGGAATTGTGGGAAAACGACAGCACGATATCTTCTTCGGTTTATACTGCTGGCTGCACCAGGCCGGAAGCTCACTGCTGCTCCCGGTGGTCGTACTGACAAACAGCTCTGCATACTGTTAAATATACATCATTTGCAGTGGTGGACGAAGTACTCAGAACTTTGACTTGGGTAAAAGTAGTAATACCACAGAAAAATACCCACAAATTCAAAATGTTACTTAAGTAAAAGTACAAGTATTACCATCAAAACCTAAGGTACCTTACAAGCTGTGCATATTAAGAACTTTTACTTCTGAAGGTGGAGCTAACATGAATTACTTTTGTATACGGCCAGGTATCACAATCGATAATAGTACATAAGTCATTAGTTGATTTATTTTTCCTGTAATATGAACTTTCTAAGTAACTAGTCACTGAACTAAAATATTGCATACATTCAGTAGAGTAAAAAGTTGGATGAGAGGCAGAAACACAGCAGTCCCCACACCAGAGGCCTCTCTCTTTTGCTGCTGCACTGGAGCTTTTAAGCACTTCCTTCTCCAGGTAACGAGGTTCAGACGAGGTGCTAGGATGGATACTTAAACATTTGATGTGTTGGTTATAATAAATCCTATGGATTCGATGATTTTAAAAGGTGTCTTTCGTGTTCTATTTGGGTCAGTGGTGGAATTTTGTTAGCCCCATAGGGCCATTTTAAGGGTGGGGCGTAACACTTTGCAGACCCATATTAATACTCCTGGTCATACAGTTGGAGATTTCCTGCGGTTTACGATTATTTCAACAAGCAAATTATCTTTTAGTGTTTAAATATAACTCTTTATTTTCTCTCTCCACTCCTTTTTTTACTTGTTTGCTCAGAGTGTTTTGTTACAGCTCTTCTGTCAAGCATGTTGGCATTTTGTTACGCCTTTCTTCTCAGCCACATTTGTCTCCCTTAAAATGTCATAAAATGTAGCAAATATGTGGAGGTAGCTGCACAGTAGCTACAATAAGTGATATGTCAGACAATCAGGCACACAGCAGAAAAAAAACAAAGTGGAAGATCATTTTTTATTCATCTCTGAATTGGAAGCAGAGTTAAGTATACAATGTACATATTTTCAACCTAACATTTTTAAATAAAACAAAAGAAAGCAAAAAACATATGCAACTTCTAAAATGTTGAGAAAATGAAAGCCCTACATGAGCAAAACAAAGAATAAAGAGTCACTGACTGTTCTAGGGTTCTCTAAAAATCTGCTGGATGTTTAGGTTCAACAACAATGTAACAAACTCCATATTGACATCAGAAAGTCTTTCATCATAGCCTCAAACTCATCTGTTCAGAGTGCACCTTCACCCATAAAATATAAAATAACGGGACAAAAAGTGTTTATGCTTATCTTTAAATGTAAACATTAATCAGTTGAACACATTTGAAAGAAGTTTATGTACATTTTGACTCGTAGGAATTACTGTTGTTGCAGTCGCTAAATAAAAAAAGAAATCATAACAATGTTATTCCCTGTTTCGCTGGAATTTATCAACACCTGCCAACATCTCAACTTTTCAATACAAATAAATGAATTAACAAAAACTCAGCATAAAGTGCACCATTTACTGTCTTTGCAAAATGTACTCCAAAATAGTACATTCAGTACACAAAAGTTGCAACAATTCTGGACAAAATGAAATTTACTATTATTCAGTTTTTGTACTTATTTTAGTTTTAAAAAAGAATAGTTGCCAGGCGTGAGTAGAATATACCAGCGTTTCATAATAGCAATTCTTCTTTTGGGCTTGTGACAACCCTGTGGTTGTCCATTGTATGGTGCTGTGTTTGAGTTTTTTCTTGCAGAGAACCTGGAGACGATGTCGGGTCCTGTAATCAGGAGAGACGAGGCCCCCCTGTGGCTCCAGCCTGGTAAAGAGCGCTGCAGATCAGTCCCCTGCTCTCTCGCTGCCCCGTGCACCACACCAGCCCTCCTCAGTTTCCATTTTGTTATTTGTGACCTTAACTTTTGTTGCAAGAAGGAGCCAGCTTGTAACTAATGGGGGGCTCGTCCGATCCACATTATAATTATTCCTGTGTCTTTGGGTTTTTAATCAGAATCATAATCTTGCTCTTCCACTGTACTTATGTCCAAAAATCTAGCCATGTGTTGAAGTCGGATGGAGCCTCGATGGATCCACTCCCTTACTTGAGTATCCTGACAGTGACAAAGAAAAATACATTATTCCACAGAAATAAAAAAAAATACGTGTCGATTAATAACAATAGTTAAAAAAACGCAGCTTTGTGAATGGTGCTGACCTGAAATAGGACCTGCATCACGCTGCAGTCGACCGCCTGCACCTCACTCCTCTGATAGACTCCATTTAACTGCACATTGAGCATCTGTCCAGCCTTGTACTGCGTTAAATGTGGGTACGGCCAGTCCCTCAGGTACCGCGCCATGAAGGCCTTGTGAGTGTCGTCGGGAATGTCCTCTAAAATATCATCCACTGTAAGGAAAACGATGAATCACTCTTATTAAGGAAGCGTATGGTTTAGTTAGTGCTAGTTATAACTGCATCTCAATAGGTGCCAATATTCTTTATGCAGCCATGCTTCAAATGCATGCAACTGTGGCCATGTCACTTTTAATGAATATGCTCACCGTGATGTTTTTGCACAATACTTTTGTTGCATTCTAAATTAATTATCGGGACGAGCATGTGAACTTGTGTAGTGTTGTGAAGGAACCATGTGTACTTGATATGGACATCAGTATGGTCAAATTATGTTATGCTTTGTATACAAAATAAAGCAAACAATATATATATTTTTATATTTAGAACTGTTCCCAAAAACAGAATACCCCTAGTTAGTTGGTATTTCATCCAAAAAAGATTGTCAGTATGCATAATAAACAAGGTACTCTTTTGATAGTGCTTAATAGATGCTATTCTCCCACGACACATTGCCCCAAATAAAAGAAAAATCGAATAAAAGAGTGTGAAAACAGCAAGACTTACATGGTCTGCACACCAGGTGAAATGAAGGTAAACCAAGATAGAGCGGCGTGTGATCATCTATGAAAACCAAGAACCTGGAAAAGAAAAAATAGGTTTAACATCAAACATATACTAAAGCATTTAGATTTTCTGTGAGGAGTAGGCGTGTCATGTCACTACTTTTGTTGGACGATAGATTGTTCAAGAATTAAACAATATTAGATTTCATTTAAACAACTACTTACTTTGGCAGAGCAATAAATGTCTAATTCTTATGAATATCCAGATATCAGAATTGGAAGTTGAGAAAAAAATGATAAAATATAATACGAGGTGCAGTGTGAGAAAAAGTTTTTAGAGAGTACTAGTCCATGGACAAGTGAGTTTGGCAATTTACTTGTCTGAATACATTTTTCACTTGTCCAGAATGGAAAGATTGGGGCCACTGGAATCTTCTTCTTCGCCAACGTATTTTACATTTTCCCACGTTTTTTACGACACCGCTAACGTAAGTGAGCGGTAAGATTTTACTGCATCACATACGTAGGGTTGGGTATAGTTTGGATTTTAACGATTCCGGTTCTGCTTTTCGATTCCGGTTATTTTCGGTTCTCGATTCCGGTTCTTTGAGAGGGTAAAAATAAGTCCCATGACAAACTGGGAGAAAAACATATTTATGAAAACATTAAGTCAAATCTGTATTCCTATTTAGAAATCACTTCATACTGTTTAATTTCTTACGGTTATTGAATAAAATTATATAAAAATAATCTCTGCATTGTTTAGTTAGTTCTATGTGGTGCAGTTTGAGAATGTACAATTGGCCCAGTCTCCTCTGATGTTACACTGCAACCTGCCTGTGAGACAGAGTCCAACCACACATGTCCAACACATAGGCCTAATAATAATAATAATACATTATATTTATAGCCTATAGGCCTAGCGCTTTTCTACAACTCAAAGACGCTTGCATGCTTACACATGTCCTGCAATACACATGCTGCAGCTGCTCACTGTTTGTAAAAGTAAATAAATAATATTTTAATTTCAATAATGTATTTTCTATACCCTGCTTCATAAACAATACTGACATCCCTGTGCTCCTCCAAGTCTGGGGGTCGGGGGATGTGAGGACAGCGCGAGGACACAGACAGGGAGGCTGCTTTACTTCATAAAGGAAATGGCGTCAATATTAACAACATAGGAGCTAAAACGCTTAATAACCTTCATTACGTGTTAGAGAAAGAACATAAGAAAGTTTGACAAAGATTAGGCTGTTAAATGGGCAGCGGGTCCGCTGTGTGTAGAAAGAGAGAGGGAGAGAGAGAGACGCTGAACTGCACCGTGCAGCGATCAGATGATCCGGAACAGAGAGAGAGAGCTGCGGTCCGCGGGGCTCGGCCTCGCACCGAGTTTTGCTTCCCAACCCTGCCACTGTGCTACACGTCCCGCACCGCCCCGCCCCCGTCTAACAGTACAGAAAGCGGCGAGATGCATTTCCTTAGGAATCAACAAGCAGAACCGAAACTAACATTTCTAAACGAACAATGGCGGACACGGACAATTTGCGAATGAGTTCTGCCTTTTGTAAACTGAGTTTATCAATAATTTGTCAATAAATGAGGGCTAAAAACATCACTTGTCCGCCGGACAAGTCAATTGAAAGATCTACTTGTCCAACATTGTAAATAACACGTCCCGGACGGTGGGACGTGTGCTTTTTCGCACACTGAGGTGATGTCCATGAATTGATAACGTAATTATTGGAACAGGCTTAGTGATGGGACATGGACATGGGTATAAAACCACACACCTCAGGCGGTTCTTTCTGCTGGGGAGCTCCGACAAAACTCCGGGCCGGAACTTGTGATCTGGAAACCGGACCACCACACGGGCCCCGACATACAGCTGCTCCCGATCCGGTGTGGTGTCAAAGGCAATGTGGTGGCCGGAGACCAGGCTTCTCCCCTTCTCTTCAAAACAAACTTTGTACTTCAACCGCCCATCTTCTGTAAACAAAGACAGTCCAAGAATGAAATCACGACAGTCATTTTTTTCCCGTCTACAGTGTTCTTCAAATAAAATACAAGAGTTTCTGCTCTACCACTGCCTAGATCGGTTAGTATTAATGTGTAACTTTGGTGTTCTGAAAGGGTCCCTTCGGATTTACCAAAGTCACACAATAACACAAAAAACGAACTGCTTGTTAAATGTATGGTTTAATGGAGCCTAGTGGCTGTCAAGAGAGCACAGATAACAACTATAGCTTCCTGTTGGAAAGGGCTGTATACGTCCAGGTAAAGCAGTCAAAAATATTCTAAATATAGCTCAATTTAAACTGATATTGATCTTTCAGGTGGCTAAAATGCATTTTGCTGCTGCCTCCACCCACAAAAGTATATTGCTTTGCTCCTGTGGCGGTACTCCTGTCTGCGTGCCAACCGTAATTTACTATAAGTATTATACTCACTATGGATAAGCACTTCATAAAAGCCATCTTCAAACAATCCGCATATCTCTATTATTAAAGACCTGGGTGTTATGTGTGAGCACATTTCCCTCCTTGAAAATCGAATTTCTTACCCTTTGTTACGATGTCCACTATTTTTCCCCGTTGCCATTTCATCGTCTTCCTCTTGGCCAGGATCATCATGCCCACTGCGACCTCTTTTTCTGGCAAGTTAGGACGGACCTTGGTGGTTTCAGTGGAGCAATGCGCAAAAGCCGATGATACTATTATAGGGGCTTGTTCTGAAACAGTGACAAACAAAAATGTGTAAATTAAAACCAACGAGCTAGAAGGATTTTAAGATATGAATGGCTGGTCACAGGATTTTCAGAGAAATGTCCTGGAAAAGGCCCATTTAAAATGTGTTTTTATGTAGGTGGCAGTAATTACCATTGTTGTTGCCGTTTCTGCTGGAGTTCTTTTTTTGAGTTTTCCGTTTGTTGTTTGAGAGTGAGAAATCAGAATCACTAGAATCATCGTCTTGTTCCCACACCATATCAGAGTCAGAGCTACTGTAGGAGTCGTCTTCACTGTAGAACTGCTGTGGCGTCGGTGGTCGCAGAGCGCTGATCTTATAGTCAGGGAGTCGAGTCAAGACCACCACAGCGTTTTTTATTAAACTGAGAGGGTCACAACTGTCCTTCAATTGTGTCTCCTTGTTGGGACTTTCACTTGTGGAGGGAACAGACTCACATGGAGAGTCAGACATGCTTTCTGAAAAGAAAAAAAGCATAGGTGAAATTGTGCCTTGCAACAAAAAAGATTTACAACAAAGATGATTTTGTTCCAGAGCTGCAGAAATTAGTGAATGAAAACCTTTGTTATAACTAATCGTTGTGTCATTTTCAAGCAAACATGCCAAAGATTTGCTAGCTCCCGTTTCCTAAATATGTAGTGTCTGTACTATTTATCATATAAAGACTAAACTTTCTCACGAATAAGACACATATTTGCAAATATTGTCATTTAAAAAAAATAAAAATAAGTTTGATTTTTTATAGATTTTTCAATTAACAAAAAGATGTTCTTACCGTTATCATATCTTTCTTCATCAGGTTCCGTCTTTGTCTTTTTTTTTACGCTCTCATTAGACTCCTGCATTTTGGTCTCCATCTCCACCTCCATAACCACTGCAACACACACGATTTAAAATTAGGGATTGAACTTCATTAGTCAATAAAGGTATATAAAAATTATTTAAAAAAAATGTCAATGTCGTCAAGTTCCTATTCGGTACCATACAGACAATGATGTGTACAAATTCTCTGCCAGTGAATATTATATATCGTAAGTACATTTATTTAGGTACTGTACTTAAAATGTTATGGTACTTGAACTTTGTTTGAGTATTCCCATCTCATGCTACTCTAATACTTTACGCTACTCCATTCAAAGTTAAATAATGTACTTTTTCTCTACTACATTTATTCGAGCCGCCTTAGTTACTTTGCATTAATTAAATTAAATATAATATACATAAATAAGACTTTAGTGTGAATTGATTCCCAATCTACAGTTTATCTATAAAGTAATTCGATTGTCTCCAACTTTACCAGCTGCATTAAAACACAATAATACATCAATAAAAGTCGGATAATAAATATAATAAATAATACTATTTTGGAAATAGCCGTTCTGCATAATAAGTGATTTTACTATTGGTTCTTTCAGTATACTTTGATGCTTATACTTTTGTATTTTCACTTAAGTAACATTTTCAATACAGAATTTATACTTGCAAGGAAGCTGTTTTACAGTTCAGTGAACATAACCAAATGAGAGGACAACACGTGCCGTTAGACTTACAGAAATACACATGGCTTATTTGTTATTTAAAGATGACATATGTATAAACGTTAACGTTAGAGCTTAGCCGAGTTATTCGTTTTAATACATGCAATGCTAGCAAAAAACCGTAGCTTACCTGTAATTTTGTTCTCGAGCTAGCTCTCAGCCTAGCACCGATAGCATACACTCCTCGTTAACTTCCTGAAAACACAACAGGTTTAAGACACACAACCGTCGTCTTGTTTGTTTCACGACTGTATACAAATATATGCAAAACGATTTTTGCTAGGAAATTGTCACAACATGCGCGTAATCAAGCCAGCTTCCTCCATTTTAGAATGTTATGTTACCGATTATTTTTGCTGCTGCTTCTTCTTCGTGGTGTTGTATAGCAGCGGGCGCACACACCAAGCCCCCAGGAAGTGCGCCGGACAAACGGCGCTACTACAATTTCCGTATCAGTCCGTAACGTCACTGGGCCATGGATGTATAATAAGAACTGGATACAGCGTGGGAGCATGGATGTATAATAAGAACTGGATACAGCGTGGGAGGCGGGGCCTCATTCATTCCTATGAGAGTTGCTCATTCGCGCATGATGATAAAATGGCCCAACTTTTGAGAAGGGTCTAGCTGCGGCCGCGGCCAGTACACGACACTACACGACACGCCCACTACACGACACGCCCACCTGACACGACACTACGGTGGCTGAGAGACATTACCATACATGGCAGATTAAAAGCGAATTGACGACACTGACGCTGATGCAAGGATATTTAAAGAGACATGAGGTTCAGAGAACAGACAAGAGTTCATGCGGCATTCGGGAGAAGGAAGCAGATCGGCTAGCTGATTCTGGTAGACGGCGGTGGCAACACTGGACTGTGACTGGACGAGAGATGGCAGAGGGAAGTGACGAGGCAGGAAGCGAGTTAGGAGACATGGACGTAACAGGCGCAGGCGGGAGTTGTGAAAATGGAAAATGGGATATAGTGAGGAGAAATAAACGTAAAAAGGGAGGAAATACTAATTCGGATGAGAGCAATAGTGAGGGTGAAAGGAGAGAAAGAGTGGTCGGAAATAGGCAACAGGAGTTCATGGTGGTTGTGAAACTTGCGCAAGAGGGAGCTTCGTTTGGCGTGTGGAACCCAATACGGTTAACTAAATCCATCAGTAAAGAAATCGGGGAGGTGATGAGTGCTAAAGTATTGAGGAATGGATCAATGTTGATCAAATGTAGGGATAGAGAGCAACAGGGGAAAGCAATAACGATGAGTACTGTGGAGGGTAAGAAAGTGGAATGTTCACTGTTCAGTGGTAGAAAGCTAGTCAGGGGAGTTGTGACAGGAATCCCCGTCAGAATATCAGCTGAGGATGTGAAAGGGAATATAACAAATGCAAGAATAAGTGATGTCAAACGCATGAAAGCAAACCGCAATGGGATCAAAGAGGATAGTCTTTCGGTTCTGATCACTTTTGATGAAAAAAGTCTTCCGGAAAAGATACTCATTGGATATATGTGTTATTATGTGAGACCGTATGTTCCACCACCACTAAGATGTTTTAAATGTCAGAGATTTGGACATGTGGCGGCAGTGTGCAAGGGAAAACAAAGGTGTGGCAGATGTGGTGGAGATCATGAATACGGCAAATGTGAGGAAGGGGCAAAGCTGAAATGTTGCAATTGCGGAGGGGAGCATAGCTCAGCGTACCGTGGATGTGAGGTTAGCAAGAAAGCAGAAGAGGTGCAGCGAGTCAGGGTGACGCAGGGAGTTAGCTATGCAGAGGCAGCAAAGACAGTTTCAGGAGGAACGCAGGTTACAATGGAAAACAACAAAAAGAGCAAAGAAACAGAAAAAGTTCACAACTGTGTTAAGTTGAAGGAGGACACTCTGATAGTGAGTAAAAGAGAGTTTGTACTGTTTATGGCAGAGATTATCAACTGTTCAGCGCAGACTAAAAGCCGGAATGAAAGAATCAAAATAATTGTCAAATCAGCTGAAAAGTACCTTGATGTGAAAGGGATGCACTGGGAACATGTGAAAGATATCCTGAATGATGACGTCCAACAATCTCAGACATGGAGTGGATCATCCTGATGGTGTTAATTGTACTGCAGTGGAATGCTAGAAGTTTAATTGCAAATGGACAAGAGTTCAAAAAATATATTGACAACCTGGGAGAGAAACCTAATGTACTTTGTATCCAGGAAACATGGCTGAAACCACAACTGGATTTTATTGTGAAGGGATATACTGCAGTTAGACGAGATAGGGACTCTGGCAGAGGGGGAGGAGTTGCAACATTCATACAGAGTGGTATAAGTTACAAAGTTATGCATGTAAGTACAGAGCATGAGGCAATAGTTATAAGGGTATGGAATGATAGAGGACCTATAGATATAGTAAATTATTATAATCCATGTGGGAAATTAGATCAAAGTATATTAGAGGATGCTGGGGGTTCACTGCAAGACAAAGTAATATGGTGTGGGGATTTTAATTCACATAACTCGCTATGGGGAAGCAGTAGCACAGATGCAAATGGTGCAGTAGTTGAGGAATTTATAGATGACCACGGGCTAGTGTGTATTAACACTGGGGAAGGAACACGATATAATTGCACGAAGAATATAGAAACAGTACTCGATCTGACATTTGTATCTAGTGCTATAGCAGGTATAAGTACATGGGATGTGGTAAAGCATACTACAGTGGGCAGCGATCATTATCCGGTGATGACTAAAGTTGGAACCAACATGAGTTTTGAAAAGGAAAAGAAAATTCCTAGGTGGAAATTGGGAAAGGCTAATTGGGATGCCTTTCAAGTTGTAAGTACGAATAGATGTAAAACACTTCAAGAGGAACATTTTGATGATATAAATAAATTAAATGATGAGCTGGTCAAGGTTATCATTCATTCAGCTAAAGAAACAATTCCGAAAATTGCAGGAGCTAGGCGTACCAAGAGTGTACCATGGTGGAATGGTGAATGTAGCAAGTCCATTAAAGACAGAAATAAAGCATTCAGGCAACTCAAACAACTCTATTCTCAGGAAGCTTTGAATCAGTATAAAAGGGCCCAGGCTATAGTAAGGAGAACAATAAGAACGCAAAAACGCACTTTTTGGAGGCAATATTGCAATAGTATTGGAAGAGAAGTACAGCTTGCAGATGTTTGGGGCATGATTAGGAGAATGGGGGGAATTCGAAGGAATTATGAGTTGCCAGTTTTGAGCAGAGGGGACATAATGGCTGTCACAAACTTAGGAAAGGCGGAACTTCTAGCTCAAACATTTAGGAAAGTTCATAGTTCGGATAACCTTACAGAGGAAGCCAGGCAGTGCAGAAATAATACACTAATGGAAAACCCGAGAATATTGGATAGAGTAGAAGTGTTAGGGGATCAGTTGGACCTGCATTTTAGTATGTTTGAGTTGAGAAGAGCAATTATTAGTGCTCGTCAAACCACTCCTGGGAAAGATGGTGTTTGTTACAAAATGTTGGAACACATGACAGATAACACTCTAGTCATTGTGTTAAGGTTGTTTAACAGGGTGTGGGATTCTGGCCAACTTCCTTCAGTGTGGAAAGAAGCGATAATAGTGCCCATCCGAAAGCCAGGGAAAGACCCTTCAGATCCATCTAGCTACAGACCTATTGCCCTGACATCTCATTTATGCAAAATTATGGAAAGAATGGTTACAGAAAGGTTAACATATATCTTAGAAAGTAAAGCTCTGTTGTCCCCATATCAAAGTGGGTTTCGTAGGGGTCAGAATACAATGGATTCTATATTGTGCTTAGAATCAGACATCAGGAAAGCACAGACCAACAAGGAAGTAGTGATTGCAGTCTTCTTTGATATTGAAAAGGCTTATGACATGCTCTGGAAGGAAGGACTACTAATCAAGTTAAAATCATTGGGAATTGGTGGTAAAGCATATAATTGGGTTATGAATTTTTTACTGGACAGGAAAATACAAGTAAGAGTAGGTGCAGAGTATTCAAGTGTTTATGCTGTGGAGAATGGTACTCCGCAAGGTAGTGTATGTAGTCCGTTGCTGTTCAATATAATGATACATGACATTTTTAATCAAGTTCATCCAAGTGTGGGAAAATCTTTGTATGCAGATGATGGGGCTTTGTGGGCAAAAGGTCGCAATGTAGCACATGTTGGAAAGAAAATACAAGCTGCAATAGTTGAAGTGGAGAAATGGACAAATAAATGGGGATTCAAACTGTCAGTAGCTAAAACGCAGGTCATTTGTTTTACAAAACGGCATAAAATTGCTCCTATATCGTTAAAATTGTATGAGCAACCTCTTGAACAGGTTAATACAATAAGATTTCTTGGTGTTTGGTTTGACGGAAAGCTAACATGGAGCAATCATATAGGCAAAGTTCAAAATAAATGTAAAAAGGTCAACAATGTACTTCGGTGTTTGGCGGGACAGGAGTGGGGAGCGAGTAGATCATCACTTCTGAATATATATTGGGCACTCATGAGACCTGTAGTAGATTATGGGTGTATAGCGTTCATGGCAGCAGCAGAATCAAACCTTAAAAAACTGGATGTCCTACAAGCTCAGGCCCTGAGAATATGTAGTGGAGCTTTTAAAACATCTCCAGTATCAGCAATACAGGTGGAAATGGGAGAAATGCCTTTAAGGATAAGAAGAGTTAAGTTAATGTTGGCATACTGGGTAAACCTTCAGGGGCATTGTGATAGTCATCCTGCGAAAAGTATTTTGAAAGACTGCTGGGAGCACAATGAGTCACATTTAACAAGTTTTGGATGGATTGGTGATGTTAAAGCAGCAAGTATAGGTTTGAATAAAATACAGTATTGCCCCACAGTTCCAATCTCGTCCATTCCACCCTGGTTATTCCCATTGCCAAGGGTAGACCTCAATATACAAAGGGAGTTGAAGGAAAAGAAAGAACTACTACCAGTATGGCGCATAGTCCAGAATTATTTTGCAAGTAATTACTCAGACTCAACAATCATATTTACAGATGGCTCCAAAGATCCAGAGACAGGGCGTGCAGGGGCAGCAGTTTATATCCCAGTGAGTAATACACATATAAAGAAAAGGGTAACAGACCATGTGTCAGTATACACGACAGAGTTGTGGGCATTGGTGTTGGCATTGAAATGGATAGAGGGGAAAGAAATACATAATAGTGTAATTGCATCGGACAGTTTTTCAGCATTATCGAGTATACGATCAGGCAGATCTTCATTTAGAATGGACATAATAAATGAAATATTTCTAATTTTATATAAAATGCAAATCAAAGGCATAGCAACTAGTTTCATCTGGGTTCCTGCTCATGTT